TTTTTTCTTATAAAAGAGCTATTTAATGACATTCCAAAACATGTAAAAATATGGCAAAGATATTGTTCAATGGAAATGCTATTATATTCTAAAAGGTCTTAAACTTTCTATGTAGGCAAGACACACAAGTGAACTTGTTATTCAGAAATAAAAAATAGGTGCGCCTGGGTGGCTCAGTCAGTTAAGTGGCTGCCTTTGGCTCAGGTCATGATCCCAGGGTCCTGGGATAAAGCATGGAGCCTAGGGCTCCCTCCTCAGTGGGGAGCCTGCTTCTCTCTCCTGTTCACCCTGCTTGTGGCTCTCTGTCAAATAAATAAAATCTTTAAAAAAATAAAATAAAAAATATATTTCAAAATTGCCATTGTTTCTGCTATCTATCATGTATTTCATTACTCTAAAAAATGTTTTAAAACACACAAAAATTTAAATTTCTAGCCAAGCTCATAATCCTAGGGTGAGAGAATTATGACATACTAGTCAATTTTCATATATTTACATTCTTGGTGTAGCCTAATGTTATTCTCTATCAAAACCGAAAAAACTAGTTGTACAGCTTGACCTTAGAAAGGCTTCTAGTTTTTGTTTTTGAGGAATCAATTGGACCTCATTATTACGATAATTTCAACAACAATAACGTCTTTAACACCTACCATTCATTCTCACATTGTATTAATAATCATCAATTTAAAATATATTCATTGGTCAGAAAACTATTTTCAATCTAAAGTATCTGAATCTTAAGAAAGAGTAACTCAAGATTTTTTAATAGGAGCTAAATTGCAAAAAGTTTGCATTTTGTGAAGAAAATATGAAAGGATGACTGCAGGGATTAGGTGAGGGGTATCAAGTTCTCTAGCCTCTTCCTCTTGATCTCCCAAGAAGAGAGATTACCATTTCTCCCCAGTCAGAGTCCCTAGCTGCATTTCAGTGTACCATGGAGAGATGGACTGAAGATTCAGAGAGGGAAGTATGGCAGGGAGGGACGCAAGTACTGCAAAAATCCTACCTCTGCTGTACCCATTAGAAGAGGGTAAGACAAATAACAGGTCACATTAATCCAAATATAAAATTATCATAAGAGATTCAAAATAATGATATGAACATTTAAAACAAAAGGTCTTTATGACTAAAAAGAAATAACCAAATTTCAGAAATTGATGGGAATCAGCAAAAACATTTTCTTAAGATTTTATTTTTAAAGTAATCTCTATACCTAACATGAGGATTGAATTTACAACCCTGAGATCAAGAGTCCCACACCCTACAGACTGAGCCAGCCAGGCATCCCAGCAAATTTTTTTAAAATAATTTTTTTAAACTTTTGTGTTTTAGTTCTGTAGTTTTATTTCCTCTTTATAACCTCAAATTTTGCTTCAAAGTACTATCCTCACATGTTTCTTTATTCCTTCCCTACTGTATTTTAAAGTTACTTCCACAAAATAGCAATTTTACTAATCAAATTATTTCACAACTACTTTAAACTAATCACAAATGTAGGAAGTTTCTCATTTCTAAAAGTCACTTATCTTCTTGAGTATCAAACAGAAAGTTATATTTTCAAACACAGTATGTCTTTATTAGGAAATTTGGGACACATTAGCTATCTATTTGCTAGATAGAAAAGCAACAACCTAGAAAAATATTTCCCTTTAAGTACTGGCTGGATAGGTCAGAAGGTTTCTCAACATCACTCAGACCCCTTTCTCTGAGCTTCTGACAGCAGCAAATCCCAAATCTTGAAAAGGCTTCTACTTCAGATTTTTTTTTTTTTTTGCCAAATCTCTTTAGCCTTAAAGTTAACTAACACATCAGGGATTTTCAATAAATACCTCATTTTTCACATTTTTGTCAAGAAGCCAAGAGAGCCTACTGAAACTTCTTGTCTAGGAAAATTTTCTATCTCTGCCAGAACCCATTTTTTTATTAAGTTTCCAGTGCTAAATGTAATGTGTAAAATTACAAAAACCTAAACTATGAAAAAGGCAAGGTACGAAACCATATAGAACATGTTACCCCTAGTGTGTAAAATGGTTATATCCTTCAAATTGTACAGACTATCCCAGAAAAAAACAGGTAATAGTGCCTCTGAAAAGGGAAGAGGCTGGAGAAGAGGGCCATCTCTTTTCACTGTATTCCCTTTGGTGGTATTTGCTTTTTTCCCCTCTGTGTGCCAGCATTGTTTTTAAGGAAAGCAAACCGAACAAAAAACATTCCTTAAAAATACATTTCCGTGAAATCCAGTTTAGTCAATAATATTTAAGAATCTACGGAGTATAAATTTCCATACATAATTTAGACAGACAATCTGATGAAGTGAATTTGATGAAAAGCTTTAATGAAATATCAAGTGGACTGTTTTAATTTGTGTCTGTATATAAATGTACATATACACCCCCTAGACATCATCTGCACGTATCCAAATGGTGTTTCCAGCATGAAGGTATGTCATTTCTAGAATGAGACACAAATAATTGATAAAGAGAAATGTTAAAGATTGTGAATTTTTTTCATAACTACTGACCTCCAGTGAAGGAGTAATATTCAGGGTATCAAGCTCCCCAGCAGCCAGAAAGTGACTCTCTGCAGAGAGCCTCCAAATATGATAAAGTGCTTTTTTATTTAAAAATGGGATCCTTCCATATGTAAATGAACCTGTAGCAGGACTCAATACAGCTGAAAAACAAAATAAGCAACAACTTGCAGTATAACCGCTTGATGTGAACCGCTATCCTGTAGTTCTATAAAACAAATTAGGCAAGATGAAACATATAACCTGAAAACAGACTGAATAATAACTGGAAAAAATGTAATTATAAACACTTCTTCAATTTGGGTAACTAATCGACATGAACATTATGACAATAGGTTTCATTTCTGAGACATGTTTGAACTTGAAAAATAAAATATAATGGTTCACACGGACTTTTTTATCCAGAAATGCCATCACACAAGTATTTTTACTTACCTTGTTGTCTCTGATAAAAGTTTGAAATGTCTTTCTACTATTTTTTGTTTAAGCTAATACAAGTAAACCATACAATTTTAATTAAACCAAAATTTAAAAGCCAAATTACAGTTTTCAGTGTTCCAGCAATCACTTAAGTACACACATAAATGCTTCTTTGTGTGCCACCAATTTTAAAAAATTAATAGGCAATTCCAGTTGCAGGTGAGGATGAAGACCTAGCCCAAATGTTTCAAGTTCAGGAAAGACCTGTAAAAGTAGCATCATGTTAAAACTGTAGCAATACTAACCTTGCTAAGTCAATTAACTGACAACTACAAACAATTCATGTAACTTTGCCTTTTGTTCTTTCAGCATTTTTAAATACTACTCTACACACTTGTCTGGTTGACACTTTGTTCTCACAGAGGATCATACTGGTCCCTTCCCACCCCCTCACCCCTAGAGAGGGCAGATTCTTTGCAAAACTCACTGAAATGAACAAAACGATTAAAACAGTAAGAGCAAAACTCTGGAAGACATTCCAACCAAAGGGCTAAAACCAAACAGGAAAAGAATAGGTAACACTGTTCTTGCCTTCAAGACATGTACTGTTACGTTAACGTGGAATGGTTTTCACACATCCTTTTCTTCTTCTTTTTAAACAATAAAATATGGCTTAAGAAAGCATTCTCCTTGTCTTTCTCCTGCCCCACCAGTATGCAGGAAAACTTAAACACTGTATCTTTGTTTCCCCATTTTCATTTTTTTTAACTGCAAGATTGTTTTCAAAATTTAGTCACTATGCTTTGCACACTTCTTTTGTCTTATTCTTTGTCGTGTTCAGCATTTGGTGGAGAGTTCACAATGTCTAAGTTCTTTGCTCTGCAGGTAAATTTGCAAATTAAAGAATGACAAAGTTTTTTTAAAAATCAATTTATCCATGGTTTTGAATTTTTCAAGAGAAACTATCTTTTTTACCTGGTTTCTGCATCCATTTCATATTCCTTGAACAGGTTATGTATTTTCTGACAACAACAAAAAGACCCATTTCAAACAGCTAGAAATACTTAGGTTTTCGGGGTTTTTTCTTTCTCTTCTTTTTGATCATGGTAGTGATAGGAGAATAAATCCTAAATTGAATATTTACTTTAGAGAGAGAGATGGCGGGGGGGGGGGGGGCAGAGAGAGAGAAAACCAGGGAAGAAGGGAGGGAGGAAGAGGGGGAAAAAGCAGCAACAGCAAAGGAAAGAAAACTGTGAAGAACTTTACAAGTGCAAAATGAACATGAAACCTTCTAACAAATAAAAATGTACCTTCTTTCCCTTATCCAACCTCCATCCCCACAGATAAAAACAGAATACTTACAAGTTAGTATCTGTGTATTTGTGGGTGTCTCTGTGTGCATGTTTTCTCTCTTCTTTGGATTTGGATACTTTGAGCTAATTTGGAAGTGCCCGTTTGGTTGCTCACAAAATGACGCTTAAGGGTCTAAAGATGCATAAATTAGAAGTCCTACAATGGCAGAGGATGATCATTGTACCTCATCTCTTTATGCGCTCTTATGGTGGGACCCAAGAGCTTTTTTTTTTTTTTTTAACACTTTAGATGATGGAGCGAATGAGGGGCTGGTCGCTGTAGAGGACAAGGCGAGCCCTGCACAACCCCTCCAACTCAGCACCACATCCCCGCTCCCCAAATACGCTGGACTTTGCTACAAAGTCCCTTTAGGGAAACTCCGGTCTGGAAGGAAAGAAGCGCTGAGTCCTTGACGTCAAGCCCCGACGCCGACCTCGGAGTTTCTATTTCTGGTGCTTGAGGGTTGGGGTAACTGCTGGGGATGGAGGCGGGAAGGATGGAGAAAGCAAAGGGGGGTGATCTTCTCAAGAAACACCCAACTGCCCCCTTTACCTTTCTTGCCTCCATTACGGGGGGTGGGGGGTAGAGGAAAAGATGTCAATGACCATTGTTTGCTCGTTTGGGATGTTGCTCCGCCCCCCGAGTCTGTCGTAAACCTGGCGGCGGACTAAAATAAACCCCAGATCCCGCGGCTCGGGGGCTCGCCGCGCCGCCGACTCCCCGTCACAGGCGCTGCCGCCGCAGCCGGGGTGGCGGCGACGAGCGGCCGCCGCCTCCCGCCCGCGCCCGCCCCGGGCCCCCGACCTGGCCGTCCGCCGAGCCATGTCGTTGAGCCCCAAGCACACGACGCCCTTCTCCGTGTCCGACATCCTGAGCCCCATCGAGGAGACCTACAAGAAGTTCGGCGGCGCAATGGACGGCGCGCCGCCCGGCCTGGGGGCGCCCCTGGGGGCCGCGGCCGCCTACCGTGCGCCGCCGCTCGGCCCCTCCTCGCAGGCGGCGGCGGCGGCGGGCGTGCAGCCACCCCACGCCATGGCGGGCCACAACGCGGCGGCGGCGGCGGCGGCGGCGGCGGCCGCCACCTACCACATGCCGCCGGGCGTTTCGCAGTTTCCGCACGGCGCCATGGGCGGCTACTGCAACGGCGGCCTGGGCAGCGTGGGCGAGCTTCCCACCTACACGGACGGCATGCGGAGCGGCGCGGCCGCCGCGGCCAGCGGCTGGTACGGCGCCAGCCCGGACCCGCGCTACTCGTCAAGTGAGCGGGGCGGACAGCGCGGGGCTGAGGGCAGGCGGACGGCGCGGGCTTCGCCCGTCGCGCCCGGGGCGCGCGCGGAGCCGAGGGTCCCGGGCTCCCGGCCGGGGCGCGCGGGGGCTGCCGGGACTGGGCGGGGGGCGCGCGGAGGGCCCCGGGACCCGGCCGGGGGCGCCGGGCCCCGGGCGCACGGAGCGTGCTGGGACCCAGCCGGGGTGTCACCGGCGTCGCGGCCCGCGCGGGGTGAAGAGCGTGGGGCGGCGGCGGGAGCGGGATCCCGGCAGGCCTGGCGCTCACCCGGCTTCTCCCCTGGGGCCCTCCCCAGTCTCCAGGTTCATGGGGCCATCGGCGGGCGTGAACGTGGCCGGCATGGGGTCGCTGACGGGCATCGCGGACGCCGCCAAGACGCTGGCGCCGTTGCATGCGGCTGCGGCGGCTCCGCGAAGGAAGCGTCGCGTGCTCTTCTCGCAGGCGCAGGTCTACGAGCTGGAGCGTCGCTTCAAGCAGCAGAAGTACCTGTCGGCTCCCGAGCGCGAGCACCTGGCCAGCATGATCCACCTGACGCCCACGCAGGTCAAGATCTGGTTCCAGAACCACCGTTACAAGATGAAGCGGCAGGCCAAGGACAAGGCGGCGCAGCAGCTGCAGCAGGAGGGCGGCCTGGGCCCTCCGCCGCCTCCGCCGCCGTCCCCGCGTCGCGTGGCGGTGCCCGTGCTGGTCAAGGACGGCAAGCCGTGCCGGAACGGTGCCAGCACGCCGACACCCGGCCAGGCCGGCCCGCAGCCGCCGGCCCCGACGCCCGCGCCTGAGCTCGAGGAGCTGTCGCCCAGCCCGCCCGCGCTGCACGGCCCTGGGGGCGGCCTGGCGGCCCTGGACGCGGCCGCGGGGGACTACGGCGGCGGCGGCGGCGGCGGCGTGCTTGGCGCCAACCTGCTCTATGGCAGGACGTGGTGACCGCGCGGGCGCCCCGGGGCGGGGTCCTGCCTGCGGCGCGGAGGGTGTGTGAGAAACTTCGAGAACGGATGGGGAAAACACACCGAAGCTGACTCTTGAGTACACGGAGATTAAAAACTAGTGAACGGGTCATGGAGAGGGGCAGCCTGTGAACCTCTTTGCTTGGGGGGGGGGGGGGGGGGGGAACAGCGACAGCCCCGGAATTGAATAATACGACGCCAGAAGGCTGTGAGGTGGTGATTTCCTCCTTCAGAAGTTCCTAAATTATTCGAAAAGCTGGCTGAGTTCACGTCCACCACGTTCCTAACCAAAGCTCTCAAGAGTTTTAAAAGTTGGAAACTTTGTTGGTGTTTGTAGCTCTAAAAATCAACCCAGCTTTAACAATGAATCCTTTTTTGAAGTGGAATTTGAGAGATTAATTTTCAAAGGCCTCCCCCTTAAGTGCAATTTCATTAATGTTTGATTGAAAGTAACTTGTAGCTCAAGGTGGATCATGCACATAGCAACATTATTGCAGGGGAATTATTGCCATTTAGGTAATAGAGAAATGGAATAAAAATAATCAAAATACTGCTTATATGGATTGATACAGCTTTTTAAATTTAATGGCGATTTTAAAATGTTTTGATCGTTATTTGGCAAATGAGTGTTTTTATATTACTCTAAAAGAGGGTATTTCCTACCTAAGATGCAGCTCGTAAGAGGGAAGGGTTGTAAACTACTTTTTATGTAGAATCTGGTCTCCCAAAATCAAACGATAAAATAAATGCGCGCTGTCTTTCCATGGACCTGTTATTTGCTCTAAGTTATTTGCCTGTCTGAATTTGAATACCTTGATAAAATACTAGAACAAGCAAGCGAATTTGCTAAAATTGGCATCAGTCTATATTCCAAAGCATGTCAAGAAGGAAGAGAATAAGGTGATTTATTGAATTGTAATCAGAATGTAAAGAGTAAGAATTATAATTTTCCCATTATATTTGCAACTTAATAGGGGTTGCACACCGATTTTGTTGGTGTTTTGTTGTACAAATAATGTATTTACTCTTTAATATGCCAATTTATATTTCCTATGTTTCAAATGAATATTTAAATATAACTTAAAAGAATCTTAAGTACTTTTTTGGTTAAAGTTAAGTGGTCATTTCTTTTTCACTAAGTTGTATAGGTTTTATTTTGGTTTGGCTTTTTTTTTTTTTTTAACAGTAGTTGGCATGACAAGACAATGCATCTCAGTTTACTTATGATTTAAATAACTGGTATTGGAGTAAAAATACCAAAAGCAAGCTGAAGAATGTTAGCTTATAAAATGAATGAAAAAGACCTAACATGGATAAAGCGTGATTTATAAATGATCACAAATAGTCACCAGAGACCCTAAAACTTTTACACATCTGAAGTTTTAGAATTAGTCTGAGACTGAAACATTTCATTTCACTTCATTGTTCGGGTGTTTTTTGAATGTGCAAAGTGAATCCTTCAGAAGGTGTTTTAGAAATTAAACTTGCACTTTCTCTAAACTGTATTTTACATAATGATAAAACTCAGTCCCTTTCACATAGGGGAAAAACAACCACTGAACAAGCAAGTGCATCATCTTTATCAAGGGTGTGTGAATGCATTTTTGGAAAATCAGAACTAATTTTTTTAAAAACATTTTACATAAAAGGAAATAATTTGAGCAGAAAAAAAATAGTATGAAAATGGTGTAATACACTTATAGAAAATTCTCCCAATTTGGGTTTTTGCATATTGATAGAATTGATTTTCAAAATTTTTGCCAAGCTAGTATAATTATTACCAATGTGCCAAATTTCAAAATGCTTGTTTATATTGATTTGATTCCCTCATAGCAGTACAAGAATTCTGAAATTTTACTTCTAGAAAATGTGTTCCAAAAGTCCACATGGTTTGCAATATATATATTTTACAACCCAGTATTTACCAATAATAGCTTAGGGACTAAGGGCTCCAAGTAACATATTTAAAGAAAACAAAATCTTCATGCAGTTTGTCCCTTGATAATTTATTTTTGGAACAAAGAATCTCATAGACTAAGTGTACTCTGTATCCAAAAGATCATTAAGAAAAAACAGCCTTTATACAGTATTTTCTAAAAGTGTATTTGCTGTAGGCATATCTTTTTCCTTTCAGCATTCCTTTAAGTAGTAGAGGAACCACTGCCAGAAGTAATCGCTGCAGAAGTAATCGCTGCAGATGGCTTAACATTCTACACCCAGAAATGCACTGAGTTTATGTGTGCACATTCCGAAATTAGGATAAGGTTTGTTTCTTGAAACATTGAAATAGAAAATGTTTTTACTATAGAATTCCACATTCTGATTAATGCAAAGCAAGAGCTTTTTTTCTTTTCTTTCAATTAGTGCTTTGCAGATCTTTTATAAAAACACAAACGGCCAGACTAGGTGAAACTCATTAACTGAAGAGGAGGATAAGTGTCTTCACAACCAAGAGGGAGGGCCGAGGCAGGGTCTGAGTGGAACAAAGCCCTCTCGAAGTTTAACAGAGGCCACAGCAAAACTCGGTTCCAGAAATGCTAACTGCAGATGTGATATTTTCCTAAATGTTTTGGGGCTGTACAACAAGCTTATCTTTTCCAGTTGAGGCACAGAAACAAAAATCCAAAATCAAAGTTGCAGAGAGGAACAGCAGGGATTGCAAGTACTTTTCTGTAATCTGTGTTGGGATGTGAATGAAAGCTTTGAGTGTGTGGTAGTGTGCAATGTTGAAGGCACAGGAATGGTGTTTTGTATATAAAGCATGGAGGGTGTAACCCAGTTGTTTTCTATTTAAGGCTTTGCCTTAGAATTAAAACCTAATGGTCAGAACAAGTAGTCAATCAGACTTTTATCAACACAGATGTTATGTCCAAACTCCATTCTGCTATCAATTGTTTACTTTCAATTTAAAGCAAATCAGAAACTCTATCCCGTTCACTAAATGCAAGCACTTTCCAAAGAATGGCTTTGTTAGCGGCATTGAATGATGATTTAGAAAGACTTTTGGAGTAAATTTGTAAACCACAATCACATAAAGACCCATCAACTGAGTTTTTAGATACGAATTTGTGCATAAATAATGCATATGTAGCAGCAATACAAATTTCAGATGTTCAAAGCATGAATGATATTGCCCAACCGGTTAACACAACACTAACATGTGTGGATAAACCCCTGTATGTTGACTATTTTGGCCCAATTTTTAAAAATGCTGCTAATTGCCATGCCCAACTCCAATGAGACGGGGGGCTAGGATACAGTTTATTAAAAAAAAAATTAATAGCTTTTTACTGCTAGTGAGAATTGGTGAGCAACTGGAGAAGATTCAGAGAAAATGGCAGACAGGCGCTGCTTTCACATTCCGTCAGGAATTTGCTCTCCCTAGTAAGTACTGAGAAAACTTTGTGATTTCAAGATCACTTTTATTATTTTTAAGTTGGGGGGTAGTGGAAGCTTCTGGGAGAGTTTTTTGGTTTCATTATTTTTGCTTTAGATGTTTACCTGCAATTGAATGAAATGTGTACCCAAAATTGAATGAAAGGCCTTTTATTTTATTTTTTTAATCCCTTGTAACCTCTATTTCATTGTTTAGGTGACTTCTAATAAAGGTTTAACCACTAACATTGCCCAACTCTAAGTTGTGCTAACTATTTTGCAGTAATGAATAACTCTATTCCCATTTCACATACAAAAATCAAAGCATGTTCTCTCTTGGCCCTCATTCCATAAATACGAAATCCAGAAACAAGTAATACAAGCGGTTAACTTTACCGAATGGAGGAAAAATCAATCGAGAACGGGCCGTTTGTTATTTTATTGTTTGTTGACTTTTTTTCTTGGTTAGAAATAGCAGGACAGTCGATCTCCAGGAATAGTCTGGCGGGATCTCAGCTCCCTGACCCTCTGGAGTGATCTGGAAGAGGCGTCGGACGAGCCAGACGGAGCCAGACAGCTTTCAGCGGTCCGGGAATGGGGATCTTAGTTGACTCTTAAGAGAATGTCTAAACTTTAGATTTCTAAGCTTAGCTAAATTCGGTTACACTCAGACTTAGAACTTAAAACTGCAGACTCGGAAGTAAGATCTCCGCTGTCCCCTTACAGGATCGGTGTATGCATTTCGTGCAGGGAGTTGAGAAGGTAAAACGAGCAGGTGAAAAAGCTGCGGCGCCACTTCCAGGAACCGAGGATCGCTGCTGCAATGATCCACTTGGGGCCTGGCGGTGGCCGCGATACACAAACCACACTGCGGGTCGGGGGTTTGAACTTCCCTGTGCCCACTCTGCTCGACACCGGCGGCTCAAGGGACTCCGGAGTCGGCGAACGGCTGGACGCGAGCCGGGGCGCCGGAGGGCGGGGCAGCGAGCGCTGAGAGGAGCGGGTGGGCCCCGGGAGCGCTTCCCCACCCCGGGGCGCCCCGGCCCGCGGGCCTAGGACCTTGCCTCTGAGAAGCAGCCCTTCTGTCCCCTCCGTGCCAGGCCCGCAGCTCCCGGACGCTGCCACCGTCCCGCCCGGCTGCGATGTCACAGCGCCCCGAGGCCCTCGCCTCGGTCGTAAGTGCGCCCGACCTCCAACACGCCCCGCGGAAAACCGGAGCTCGGAACCCTCAGCCCCACCCCGGCCCGCCCAGACGACCCGCGCCCTCGGACGAAAATTAACCATCGCTCATTACACGTAATTTGCCTTTGTAACGCCAAATGGCAATCTAATAGTTTGTAGACGGCTTTGTATTTTAACGTGCATTACCTCATTTGATCCTTAAAAGGAAGACAACTGCTCATTAAGGGCCCTTAGCGCCACAATAAAGTCACTCTGTTTCATGTTCTAAGATTTTTAAGCATCTTTAATATGAGACCCTGAAAACCTGTGTTCTACTTAAAGATGTTAATTATTTAAATTTGGCCCATTAACTACTTTTACCCCCGAATATGGAGGGCATGTTTATAGCTTTAAATATTCCATTTTAAGTTCTAAGAAGCTTTCACTTGTTGAAATAATAAGGCTTTTTTTTCTGGCAGATTCAGGCGGGGGAAAGAGAGGGAGGAAGAGTAAGGGGCGAGAGGAGGGAGCAAGGATGAAGGAATGAAGCAGGTCCAGAAGTGAGGGTTCAGCTAGCTGGCAGATGTCCTGCAGGGCACCCGACCAGGTAGAGGGA